AACTCTGCAACTCTCTCACCCTGTGACTCTCCAACTCTCTCGCCCTGTGACTCTCCAACTCTTTCACCCTGTGACTCTCCAACTCTCTCGCCCTGTGACTCTCCAACTCTCTCACCATGTGACTCTCCAACTCTCTCGCCCTGTGACTCTCCAACTCTCCAACTCTCTCACCTTGTGACTCTCCAACTCTCTCACCCTGTGACTCTCCAACTCTCTCGCCCTGTGACTCTCCAACTCTCCAACTCTCTCACCTTGTGACTCTCCAACTCTCTCACCCTGTGACTCTCCAACTCTCTCGCCCTGTGACTCTCCAACTCTCTCACCATGTGACTCTCCAACTCTCTCACCCTGTGACTCTCCAACTCTCCAACTCTCTCACCCTGTGACTCTCCAACTCTCTCACCCTGTGACTCTCCAACTCTCTCGCCCTGTGACTCTCCAACTCTCCAACTCTCCAACTCTCTCACCCTGTGACTCTCCAACTCTCTCACCCTGTGACTCTCCAACTCTCTCGCCCTGTGACTCTCCAACTCTCCAACTCTCTCGCCCTGTGACTCTCCAACTCTCTCACCCTGTGACTCTCCAACTCGCTCACCCTGTGACTCTCCAACTCTCTCGCCCTGTGACTCTCCAACTCTCTCACCCTGTGACTCTCCAACTCTCTCGCCCGGTGACTCTCCAACTCTCTCACCCTGTGACTCTCCAACTCTCTCACCCTGTGACTCTCCAACTCTCTCACCCTGTGACTCTCCAACTCTCTCGCCCTGTGACTCTCCAACTCTCTCACCCTGTGACTCTCCAACTCTCTCACCCTGTGACTCTCCAACTCTCTCGCCCGGTGACTCTCCAACTCTCTCACCCTGTGACTCTCCAACTCTCTCACCCTGTGACTCTCCAACTCTCTCACCCTGTCACTCTCCAACTCTCTCGCCCTGTGACTCTCCAACTCTCTCACCCTGTGACTCTCCAACTCTCCAACTCTCTCACCCTGTGACTCTCCAACTCTCTCACCCTGTGACTCTCCAACTCTCTCGCCCTGTGACTCTCCAACTCTCTCGCCCTGTGACTCTCCAACTCTGCAACTCTCTCACCCTGTGACTCTCCAACTCTCTCGCCCTGTGACTCTCCAACTCTCTCACCCTGTGACTCTCCAACTCTCCAACTCTCTCACCCTGTGACTCTCCAACTCTCTCGCCCTGTGACTCTCCAACTCTCTCGCCCTGTGACTCTCCAACTCTCTCACCCTGTGACTCTCCAACTCTCTCACCCTGTGACTCTCCAACTCTCTCACCCTGTGACTCTCCAACTCTCTCACCCTGTGACTCTCCAACTCTCTCACCCTGTGACTCTCCAACTCTCTCACCCTGTGACTCTCCAACTCTCTCACCCTGTGACTCTCCAACTCTCTCGCCCGGTGACTCTCCAACTCTCTCACCCTGTGACTCTCCAACTCTCTCACCCTGTGACTCTCCAACTCTCTCACCCTGTCACTCTCCAACTCTCTCGCCCTGTGACTCTCCAACTCTCTCACCCTGTGACTCTCCAACTCTCCAACTCTCTCACCCTGTGACTCTCCAACTCTCTCACCCTGTGACTCTCCAACTCTCTCGCCCTGTGACTCTCCAACTCTCTCGCCCTGTGACTCTCCAACTCTGCAACTCTCTCACCCTGTGACTCTCCAACTCTCTCGCCCTGTGACTCTCCAACTCTCTCACCCTGTGACTCTCCAACTCTCCAACTCTCTCACCCTGTGACTCTCCAACTCTCTCGCCCTGTGACTCTCCAACTCTCTCGCCCTGTGACTCTCCAACTCTCTCACCCTGTGACTCTCCAACTCTCTCACCCTGTGACTCTCCAACTCTGCAACTCTCTCACCCTGTGACTCTCCAACTCTCTCGCCCTGTGACTCTCCAACTCTTTCACCCTGTGACTCTCCAACTCTCTCGCCCTGTGACTCTCCAACTCTCTCACCATGTGATTCTCCAACTCTCTCGCCCTGTGACTCTCCAACTCTCCAACTCTCTCACCTTGCGACTCTCCAACTCTCTCACCCTGTGACTCTCCAACTCTCTCGCCCTGTGACTCTCCAACTCTCTCACCATGTGACTCTCCAACTCTCTCACCCTGTGACTCTCCAACTCTCTCACCATGTGACTCTCCAACTCTCTCGCCCTGTGACTCTCCAACTCTCTCACCATGTGACTCTCCAACTCTCTCACCCTGTGACTCTCCAACTCTCTCACCATGTGACTCTCCAACTCTCTCACCATGTGACTCTCCAACTCTCTCGCCCTGTGACTCTCCAACTCTCTCACCATGTGACTCTCCAACTCTCTCACCCTGTGACTCTCCAACTCTCCAACTCTCTCACCCTGTGACTCTCCAACTCTCTCACCCTGTGACTCTCCAACTCTCTCACCCTGTGACTCTCCAACTCTCCAACTCTCTCACTCTGTGACTCTCCAACTCTCTCGCCCTGTGACTCTCCAACTCTCTCGCCCTGTGACTCTCCAACTCTCCAGCTCTCTCACTCGACTCTCCCAGAGATGTCAGCGATGTTGTCCTTCCCAATCCTTCCACTGCGCCCACATGTCACTGCAGCTGCAGAGATGGGTAGCTGATGGGGGTGGTGGAGGTGGTGATGGTGTTGATGATGGTGGAGGTGATGGTGGTGTTGGAGGTGGGGATGGTGGTGGTGGTGGAGGTGGTGATGGTGTTGATGATGGTGGAGGTGATGGTGGTGTTGGAGGTGGGGATGGTGGTGGTGGTGGAGGTGGTGATGGTGTTGATGGTGGTGAAAGTGATGGTGGTGGTGTAGGTGGTGATGTTGTAGGTGATGGTGGTCATGGTCCAGTTGCTGGTGTAGACAGTGGTGATGGTGGTGATGGTGTAACTGATGGTGGTGAGGGTGTAGGCGATGGTGGTGGTAGTGTTGATGGTGTAGCTGAGGTTGATGGTGGTGTAGGTGGTGATGGTGTTGATGATGGTGAAGGTGGTGGTGGTGGAGGTGGTGATGGTGTTAATGATGGTGAAGGTGATGGTGGTGGTGTAGGTGGTGATCGTGTTGATGAAGGTGATGATGGTGATGGTATTGATGATGCCATTGATGGTAGTGATGGTGGATAACATATAGGGTCATTCCCATTGTGGAGGTGAGATTGTGGATGACATGGAAAGTGTTTGTCTGTCTCTGTGTGTCTGTGTCTCTGTGTATGTCTCTGTGTATGTGTATCTGTGTCTGTCTCTGTGTCTCTGTCTCTGTGTATGTCTCTGTGTATGTGTCTCTGTGTCTGTATTTCTGTCTCTGTATCTCTGTCTCTGTGTATGTCTCTGTGTCTGTGTCTCTGTGTATGTCTCTGTGTCTGTGTCTCTGTGTCTGTGTCTCTGTGTCTCTGTGTCTGTGTCTGTATTTCTGTCTCTGTCTCTGTGTATGTCTCTGTGTCTCTGTGTCTCTGTGTCTGTGTATGCCTCTGTGTCTGTGTCTCTGTGTCTGTGTCTGTGTTTCTGTCTCTGTGTGTCTGTCTCTGTGTCTGTGTCTCTGTGTCTGTGTGTGTATGTGTCTGTGTTTCTGTCTCTGTGTGTCTGTCTCTGTGTCTGTGTCTCTGTGTCTGTGTCTCTGTGTCTCTGTGTCTGTATTTCTGTCTCTGTGTGTCTGTGTCTCTGTGTCTGTGTCTCCGTGTCTGTGTCTCTGTGTGTCTCTGTGTCTGTGTCTCTGTGTCTCTGTGTCTGTCTCCGCATTTGTGTATCTGCGTTTGTCCACGTGTCTGTCTGCCCGTGTCTCTTTACGCGTGTCCCTGCGTGTGTCTGTATGTCTTTGTGCGTGTCCCTGCGTGTGTCTGTATGTCTTTGTGCGTGTGTGTATATATACGTGTGTATCAATGTCTACGTGTGTATTTGTGTGTATGTTTGTGTGTGTCCGTGTGTCTACGTGCAGCTGTCTGTCTGTGAGTGCCAGTCTCTATCGTATCTATCTCTGCACGAACGCGTCAATATGTATCCCTCTAGATGTATCTACAGCATCTGTGTTTGTGCCGTGTGTGTCTGTGTGTATCACTACGTATCTGTGTGTGCCTGTCTGTATGTATGTATCACCCATGTACGTGTATCTGTGTGAGCCCGTGCGTATCTGCATGTATCACCCATGTACGTGTATCTGTGTGAGCCCGTGCCTATCTGTATGTATCACCCGTGTACGTGTATCTGTGTGAGCCCGTGCCTATCTGTATGTATCACCCATGTACGTGTATCTGTGTGAGCCCGTGCCTATCTGTACGTATCACCCATGTACGTGTATCTGTGTGAACCCGTGCCTATCTGTATGTATCACCCATGTACGTGTATCCGTGTGAGCCCGTGCCTATCTGTATGTATCACCCATGTACGTGTATCTGTGCGAACCCGTACCTATCTGTATGCATCACCCATGTACTTGTATCTGTATGAACCCGTGCCTCTCTGTATATATCACCCATGTACGTGTATCTGTGTGAACCCGTGCCTATCTATATGTATCACCCATGTACGTGTATCTGTGTGAGCCCGTGCCTATCTGTATGCATCACCCATGTACTTGTATCTGTATGAGCTCGTGCCTATCTGTATGTATCACCCATGTCCGTGTATCTGTATGAACCCGTGCCTATCTGTATGTATCACCCATGTCCGTGTATCTGTATGAACCCGTGTCCTATCTGTATGTATCACCCATGTACGTGTATCTGTGTGAGCCCGTGCCTATCTGTATGTATCATCGCTGTGTGTGCGCACAAGCCAGCGGTGTTTGCCCGTCTCGCGTTCAACTCGAGGGCTCATTATATATGTACCGCGACGCGTCACATCTAATCACCGCCTCCTACTCCTCCTCCTCCTCCACCACCACCACCTCTCTCCTCCCTCCCCCCTCCCCTCCTCATCCTGCACTCCTTCGATGTTCGTGAGTGGCAGCCCTCATTCCTATAAAACCAGCGCGTCTCGGAGCGTCCCCATTCATTCATCAGAGTCGTGGCGGCGACACGCGCACTGCAGACGCAGAGCGGGGGAGGGGGACACCTCGGCAAGGGAGACGGACAGACAGACACACAGACACTTAGACACAGACACTTAGACACGGAAACTTAGACATACACACAGACACTTAGACACACACACAGACACTTAGACACGGAAACTTAGACACACACAGATACTTAGACACGGAAACTTAGACACACACAGACACGCAGACACACACACAGACACTTAGACACGGAAACTTAGACATACAGACAGACACGTAGACACACACACAGACACTTAGACACGGAAACTTAGACACACACACAAACACGCAGACACACACAGACACTTAGACACGGAAACTTAGACACACACATACAGACTTAGACACACACACAGACACTTAGACACATAAACTTAGACACACACACAGACACACAGAGACTTAGACACACACAGACACTTAAACAGACACACACACAGACTTACACACACACACTTAGACACACACACATCCACTTAGACACACAGACACACAGACACTTAGACACACAGACACATACACACACTTAGACACACATCGACAAGCTGACGAGAGAGTGATATTGCTCCCTCTGGCTGCTGACGCTGTCTGTCTCTCTCTGTGCGTCTCGTCCGCTCCCTCTGTACAAGTTCGCAGCAGCCAGACATCGCTGATTAACGTATTTGTAGCTACAGTCGCAGGCAAGCAGGTGCGCTCTTACCCGGCTGTCGGACACAATAGGTACTCGCGAACGGCACTGTGCAGCTACGGTTGTTGTTGTTGTTGCTGCTGCTGCCGTGGTTGTTGCTGTTGTTGGTAGGAGCGGATGGATGAGTGAGCGTCACTCGTTCTGAGCGAGGGCACAGCGATGAGACGGAGTTACGCGCGCGTGACTTTCGCTGTGCGGTGCTAAGCGGCGCTCACACACAGGCACACACACAGACACACGCACACAGACACACAGACACATACAGACACACGCACACAGACACACACAGACGCATGCACAGACACACACACACAGACACACATACAGACACACACATATACGCACAGACACACAGACACACGCAGAGGCAGACGCGCTATAGATAGCCCAGCGTTTGGCAGTAGTTGTATTTAATTAATTAATGTATGTGTGTGTTTGAGTGTGTGTGAGTGTGTGTGAGTGTGTCTGTGTGTGTTTGAGTGTGTCTGTGAGTGTGTCTGTGTCTGTGAGTGTGTGTGTGCGTGTGTGTGAGTGTTTGAGTGTGTGCGTGCGTGTGTCTGTGTGTGCGCGCGCGCCCCAACAGTCTGTGAATGCGATAAGGGTGGCGATCGTGTTCGTTTCTCGCGAACAGCGCTTTGGAGCAACAGTCGGCCAATGGCTGTAGTCCGCTGCGTGTCCGTGTGTCTGTGCGCGTCTCTGTGTGTGCGTGCTGTTGTTCGTGGCTCCGCGTGTCAGCGTGTGCGTTAGCAATAGGTGCTCGCTAACAACCTTTCGTAGTCGCTGCCTTCTATGCGGCAAGCGAGTGTTGCCTGAGTGTGTGTGCGTGTCGTTGTGTATTTGCGCGTGACCGCGCGTGTCTCTCTGCGCGTGTCTCTGTAAAGCTGCCTGTCTATAGAGTTGTCTGTTTGTACAGCTGCCTGTCCGTACAGCTGTCTGTCTGTACAGCTGTCTGTCTGTACAGCTGCCTGCCCGTACAGCTGCCTGTCTGTACAGCTGTCTGTCTGTACAGCTGCCTGTCTGTACAGCTGTCTGTCCGTACAGCTGCCTGTCTGTACAGCTGCCTGTCTGTACAGCTGCCTGCCCGTACAGCTGCCTGTCTGTACAGCTGTCTGTCTGTACAGCTGCCTGTCTGTACAGCTGTCTGTCTGTACAGCTGTCTGTCTGTAGAGTTGTCTGTCTGTAGAGTTGTCTGTCTGTACAGCTGTCTGTCCGTACAGCTGACTGTCTGTACAGCTGCCTGTCTGTACAGCTGTCTGTCTGTACAGCTGTCTGTCTGTACATCAGCGAGTGTCGCTGTTCTGCGCGTGCATTTGTGTGCGCGCGCTTCGTGTGCGCGCGCCTCCAAATGAATTCAACATAAAACCTACAACGCAACAGCAGCACCACCACCACCACCACCGCTACCAAACAAACACACAAACAACAGTCAGTCGCGACTGACTCGTGCCAGGGGAGGACGAGCGAGCCGTCCACCATGACCCCGCTGTCCGGCTCGGGGACTCCGACCCAGAGCCAGGAGCTGTCGACCGCTTACGCGTTGCACCTCTCTCCCGAGGAGATCGTCATCGATGTGGTCGGTGACAGCGACGACGCTCGTGGGATTGACGACGACGACGATGATGATGATGATGGCGGTGGCGGCGATGATGATGATGATGAAGACGGTGGTGGTGGTGTTGGTGGTGGTCTTGTGGACCGCACTCGCGGCGACAACAACAACCACCACCACCTCGTCGTCGTCAAAACCTCTGGTGGCGGCCCGCAGATGTCTCGCGCGACAGACCACAACCACCACCACCACCGCCACAACCACCATCACCAACACGGAGACACGGACCAAAAGCCGGACCTGGATGTGAACCGCGACGGGTGCAACTCAGCTGGCCGCGTGGACGACGACGCCGATGCAACAACCGACAGCGACCCCCCGAAGAACGTGAACAACGCGAGTAGCGGCGGTGGCGGTGGTGGTGGCGCTGGTGGTGGCGCTGCTGGTGGCGCTGGTGTTAGCTCGTCGGGCAGCAAGAGCAGCGCCCTGGTGAAGCCACCCTACTCGTACATCGCGCTCATCACCATGGCCATCCTGCAGAGCCCGCAGAAGCGACTCACGCTGAGCGGAATCTGCGATTTCATCAGCGCGCGCTTCCCCTACTACCGCGAGAAGTTCCCCGCGTGGCAGAACTCGATCCGACACAATCTGTCGCTCAACGACTGCTTCGTGAAGATCCCGCGCGAGCCGGGCAACCCGGGCAAGGGCAACTACTGGACACTCGACCCGGCCTCCGAGGACATGTTCGACAACGGCTCGTTTCTCCGCCGTCGCAAGCGATTCAAGAGGCCCATGACCGCCGATCAGCACGCGGCCGCCGCCGCCGCGTTCATGATGCACGGACTGACCCCTTACGGCGTGTCGGCGTCCTACTGCGTGCGCGCCGCGGGTTACGGCTTCCCCGCGCACGGATACGCGCTGCATTCCGCGGCCGCCGCTTTGCAGCATCACCATCATCAGCAGCAGCAGCAGCAGCTGGTACATCATCATCATCATCAGCAGCAGCATCAGCAGCAGCAGCAGCAGCATCAGCAGCAGCAGTATCCGTACGCGAGTTCGTGTCTGACGCCCTGTGCTGCCCCACGGTGTCCCGCTGCTGTCATCGGTGCATGAACATTTGCAGGGGACGGCGAGGAAAGTGTTCGGCGCTGGGATCGTGCAGATGCACGCGGCCGTGAACGCGCAGTGTTCCCTGCCGATGGCGCAGCAGCATCAGCAGCAGCAGCATCATCAGCAGCAGCATCATCAGCAGCAGCATCAGCAGCAGCAGCCATCCACACCACCTCCATCACCCAAGTACGTTGTGTGTAAAGCAGTGGACAAAGACAACACCGCTTCCAACAACATCATCACCACCACCACCAACAACACTAACGCCACCAACATCACCACCACCACCACCACGACACCTCCAGGATCGACCACCACGAACCGCAACCCCTTCAGCATCGAGAGCATCATCGGCATCGCTGCCGAGAAAGCAGACGCGGCTGTCAAGACGAGTGGACACGGCGCGCTGATGGGGACCGGCGGCGGCGGCGTAGGAGGCATCGGGGCTCACGGAGCCACGTTCCTTCCTCACGGGGGATCCCCTTTCCGCGGGGCCCCGGCCTCGCTGCCCATGGGCTCGCGGCCTGGACACGGCTTCTCGTTCACGCGAGCCGGGTTCGGCCTCTCCCCCACGCTGCACGTGCTCTCGGCGCCCTTCGTGCAGAGCGCAGCGCACCCCGTCTCCAAGTGGCTCTCTCCGTGACTGCACCTCAGCCCCTGCCACCACCAGCACCAGCACTACCAGCACCAGCACTACCACCACTATCACCACTACCACCTGCACCACCACTACCACCACTTGCCTCCCACTCCGTGACTCTCTCAACTCAAGGGGGTCTCTGCGCGACTCTCAAGGGGGTCTCTGCGCGACTCTTCAAGGGGGTCTCTGTGTGAATCTTCAAGAGGGTCTCTGCGTCACTCTTCAAGGGGGTCTCTGTGTGACTCTTCAAGGGGGTCTCTGTGTGACTCTCAAGGGGGTCTCTGCGTCACTCTTCAAGGGGGTCTCTGTGTGACTCTTCAAGGGGGTCTCTGTGTGACTCTCAAGGGGGTCTCTGCGTCACTCTTCAAGGGGGTCTCTGTGTGACTCTCAAGGGGGTATCTGCGTCACTCTGAACTCTGTGATTCGTTTCCGTGACTCTTTCCACGCGTGTGTTCTCGCGACAGCCCTCCCTTCGCGTCTCTCTGCCACTCTCTCCGTGACCACACTCACTCTCTCTGTCTCTCTGCCACTCTCTCCGTGACCACACTCTCACACTCCGTCTCTCTGCCACTCTCCGTGACCACACTCACACTCTGTCTCTCTGCCACTCTCTCCGTGACCACACTCACTCTCTCTGTCTCTCTGTCTCTCTCCGTGACCACACTCACACTCTGTCTCTCTGCCACTCTCCGTGACCACACTCACTCTCTCTGTCTCTCTCCGTGACCACACTCACTCTCTCTGCCACTCTCTGTGACCACACTCACACTCTCTGTCTCTCTGTCTCTCTCCGTGACCACACTCACACTCTGTCTCTCTGCCACTCTCCGTGACCACACTCATCTCTCTGTCTCTCTCCGTGACCCACACTCACTCTCTCTGCTACTCTCTGTGACCACACTCACACTCTCTGTCTCTCTGTCTCTCTCCGTGACCACACTCACACTCTCTGTCTCTCTCCGTGACCACACTCACTCTCTCTGTCTCTCTGCCACTCTCCGTGACCACACTCTCACACTCTCTCTCTGCCACTCTCTGTGACCACACTCACTCTCTCTGTCTCTCTGTCTCTCTCCGTGACCACACTCTCTGTCTGCCTCTCTCGCTCCTCGACAATCACCGGCGTCTCTCCGTCACTCCTTGGCTCCTCGTGACAATCTCTGCGTCTCTCCAGCGAAGCTCCGTCTCTCTCTCTCTCATCCCCCCCCCCCCCTATCTGCGTGACTCTCTCCGTGACTCTCGCCGTCTTTGTCTCTCCGTGACTCTCGCCGTCTTTGTCTCTCCGTGACTCTCGCCGGCTTTGTCTCTCCGTGACTCTCGCCGGCTTTGTCTCTCCGTGACTCTCGCCGGCTTTGTCTCTCCGTGACTCTCGCCGGCTTTGTCTCTCCGTGACTCTCGCCGTCTTTGTCTCTCCGTGACTCTCGCCGGCTTTGTCTCTCCGTGACTCTCGCCGTCTTTGTCTCTCCGTGACTCTCGCCGGCTTTGTCTCTCCGTGACTCTCGCCGTCTTTGTCTCTCCGTGACTCTCGCCGGCTTTGTCTCTCTGTGACTCTCGCCGTCTTTGTCTCTCCGTGACTCTCGCCGTCTTTGTCTCTCCGTGACTCTCGCCGGCTTTGTCTCTCGCGCTATGGAACAAGGGAGACGTCTTCACAGCCCAGAGCTCGTCTCGTCTTCATCCTCTGAAGGTGATTTTCCCTTCCCACGTGTTCACTCCCCCCCCCCCCCTTCACGGAATCGCCACACGCACACGCACGTACACACACACGCACGCACACACACACACGCGCGCGCACACACACACGTGCAGTGCTTAATTTCAGCCGGAGCTGCCCGGGACTGAATTCCGGAGGAAAAAAAAAACATTGTATTTGAGATATATATACACACACACACACGCGCGCGCGCGCACATGCGTACGGCGGATGTGTAATCAGCGTGCGCGTGTCCACGCCGGCTTCGGTTTATCATGATGATGATTATTTTGTTGTTGTTGTTGTTGTACATAAAATATTTATATCGTTTCCGAACCGCTCGGTTCGACTGCGTTGGGGTACCGGCACGCGATCGGCAGCCCAGTCGGCCGTAAGCGAGAGAGAGAGAGAAGAGGGGGGGGGGGGCAGGAGGGTTCACGGGATGTGGGTGCGAACCGGGGGCCGATTGCCAGCTGGGATTAAGCCAAAGCGCACGCGTGGTGTGAGTTGTACACAAGTGTGCGTGTGTCGGTGTGTGTGTCGGTGTGTGTGCGTGTGTGTGTGTCGAGTGTACATAGTGTACGTATTGGACAATTCAAGTGGACTGTGTAGTTTGCTGTATGCTCGCTGTGTCCTCACGATCCGCCAATCGCCTCACTGCGTTTCCGTGATCGCCTCGTTACACGCCGCACTTACCCGATGATTGCTAAACACGTCCCACGCGACGTCAAAGAGAGCGCCGATTCCACTTGCGTGTTCGTGTGTCTGTGTGTGTATGTGTGTTCGTGTGTGTGTACCTGTGTCTGTGTGTACGTGTGTCTGTGTGTGTATGTGTCTGTGTTTGTGTGTGTCTGTGTGTCTGTGTGTGTATGTGTGTTCGCGTGTGTATGTGTCTGTGTGTGTACGTGTGTGTGTATGTGTCTGTGTGTGTCTGTGTCTGTGTGTTCGTGTGTCTGTGTGTCTGTGTGTGTCTCCGTGTTCGTGTGTCTGTGGTGCGCGTGTGTGTACGTGTGTGTGTGTCTGTGTGTCTGTGTGTGTATGTGTGTTCGCGTGTGTATGTGTCTGTGTGTGTACGTGTGTGTGTATGTGTCTGTGTGTGTCTGTGTCTGTGTGTTCGTGTGTCTGTGTGTCTGTGTGTGTCTCCGTGTTCGTGTGTCTGTGGTGCGCGTGTGTGTACGTGTGTGTGTGTCTGTGTGTCTGTGTGTGTCTGCGTGTTCGTGTGTCTGTGTGTTCATGTGTGTATCTGTGTGTCTGTGTGTGTCTGCGTGTTCGTGTGTCTGTGTGTTCGTGTGTGTATCTGTGTGTCTGTGTGTGTCTGCGTGTTCGTGTGTCTGTGTGTTCATGTGTGTATCTGTGTGTCTGTGTGTGTCTGCGTGTTCGTGTGTCTGTGTGTTCATGTGTGTATCTGTGTGTCTGTGTGTGTCTGCGTGTTCGTGTGTCTGTGTGTTCGTGTGTGTCTGTGTGTGTCTGTGTGTGTCTGCGTGTTCGTGTGTCTGTGTGTTCATGTGTGTGTCTGTGTGTCTGTGTGTCTGTGTGTGTCTGTGTGTGTCTGCGTGTTCGTGTGTCTGTGTGTTCGTGTGTGTGTGGACGCGTGTTTGTGTACGTGTATCTTTGTGTTCGTGTGTCTGTGTGTACGGGTGTGTGTGCGCGTGGATGTGTGTGTCTGTGTGTGTGCGTGTGTATGTATGTATGTGCGTGTGTATGTCTTTATGCACAAGGGAGCGGTAGTGTAGTGCTTAGCGCGCTGCGCTACGAACCCGGCGACCCGAGATCGATTCCCGATCACGGTCAACACCAGTGACGATTATCTGAACCGGTCCTGGACCTCCCACGAGGTCGACTCAGCCTCAAATGAGTACCTGGTGCGGTGTGTAAACATCGCCACTGGGGAGACAAAAGCGGTCGGGCGTGGAGCTGGCCACCAACCCCCTCGTGTGCCATTTCGGCTTTCATAGGTGCTCGCTAAGAGCACTTGCCCCAACAGTCTGTTAGGTTATACGGGTGATCTTTGTCTGTTGTGTGCTATGAAGAAGGCCCATTTCCCGGAACGTCGCCCGTTCAGGCCACGCACGGCGGCGTTGACGAATGTATTCATCCCGCGCTCTTCGCTTCGCCTGCGAACGCGTTTAGCAATCATCAGGCTCGTTGAGCCTGTAACGACTCAGCTTATATAGTTACACAACGACGATAACCATCAGTCTCGCTGTGTAAAAAAAAAAAATTTGCAGCGTAAAGTCGATAAGCAGACACCGCGTCTCCGTTACATATCCGTCTATCGTCGTCGTAAAAATATAAAAGAAAAAATGTCGTACGCATCATATCGGTCACACGGGCCCCCTTCTGCGAGCGCTTAATGTCAGAGGCATTGGTTCAGTCCAAGCAAAACCTCTCGGTCGGTTTTGACAGCCGGTGTCTCATCAGCAGGGTTGGGCTGTTGAGCCCTGCCGGACGTCATGGGCAGCAAGGAAATCCGCTCTTTAAAGATGTGTGAGTCCTAGAATTTGATTCAGGCAAAGATGATGGGACGGCGAGTGAGCGAACGTCAATGCCGACCCAGAGGTTTCGCTTGTGCTGAGCGCAATGCTGCCGAGTCGATGCTGCTAGCAGAAGTCCGTACGGCTGACGGGATGTGTCAAATAATTTGCCTTCTACGATGTGAAGGAAACAAATATGGCAAATATATATTTGAGCGGGGGGTGTGTGGCGAGAGGGGGGTGGGGGGACGACTGAAAAACGTGGAATGGATCATCGTGGTCGGTCGCAAGGAATGGAGTTTTAGACATTCCCGAAATTCCACGTTTCCGTGAACGGGGGATCGTAGATGACACTCGTGTGTATGTACAAAGCCACGCACACACACACGTGTGCAGATGAGCACGTGTGTGTGCAGTTGTTGTATGTACGGGATACACACGTGTTGTTGTTGTTGTTGCTGTTGTTGATTTTATCCCAAAAAAATCGAAATAGACCCACGGATCGAATTTTTTCAAACTCCGTGAGATTTAAATTTTTTTTAAATCGAACGATCGGTTTACAAGCGCCCCCCCCCCACCCACTGCCCCCCCTTTGTCAATCCACCGTCGGTTTGTATTTGTTGTCCATACTTCACCGCGATTTGTCGGCGCGAGTCGCCGCTCGACAGAGCTCATCAAATTGCCTCTCTGTCAACATCTCTGTCGAGATCATTATCTTCATCGATCATTTATACGTGGCGGTGGTGGCGGCGATGGCGGTGTTGGCGGTGTTGGTGTGTGGGTGGGTGGGGGAGGGCAGCGGAATTTGTCTACGAACCGCGGGCAAGGCTGGAGTTCAATAGCTTCGGCCACGGCTGCGACGGGTGGTGGCGAGTGACACGTGGATCCGAGTGAATCTTCGGTGTCTCACCGCCTTCCTGTATGCCCGCAATGGCCAGGGTGGTGAAGTATGGTCAAACAACAACAACAACAACAACACACGCGCATGACCGCCGACACGCCTTAGGGACGACTTCACCCAGCAGTGAATAAGCAAAGCAAGCGGGTACAACTGTGTTTTTAAATATTGTTACATTTCGTGCTACCGTTCGGATTATAAGGAGCACCTCCAACCTCGTCCATTGCATCGTGGTGCGTCTTATAATCGGGTAGCTGTGCGCGGTTCGCGCTACGCAGCGCTACGAACCCGGGTTCGATTCCCGCTCACGGCCACCGGTCCCGGGCCTCCCCTAGGTCGACTCAGCCTCAAAGCGAGTAACCCCTCTGCGCGCGCGGTGCAGTAAGGTCAACATCGCCCCACTCGGGAGATGAAGGTGGCCGGGCGTGATGCTGGCCACCCACTCACGCTCTCCTCGTGTGCCACAGTGCCGGGAGCCTTCATAGGTGCTGCTCGCTAACAGCACTTGCCCCAACAGTCTGTTACAGGCTACACGCACGGGGGGTGGAATTCTTGATGGAGCTGCGCAAAACGCTCATTGATTAACAGCGGGGGCGCAAACACAAACTGTCGCGTTGATTTTTTTGCAAGGTTTGCCTTCCTGCTTTCGCGCGCGTCTTATAATCAGGACATTTCGGGGTAGATTGTACGTATTGCATTTTTGTGGCGGGGAGAGAGGGGGGGGAGACACACAATGTGTCTCTCCGCGAGCGGTGTTAGTTGAAGTTGTCACTG